CTCCGTGCTCTTGACGAACACACTAGGCTGTTTGGATTGCATGTAGTTCCACATCCGCTGGTACGTCTGGTACCTCGAGTTCTTGGCAGAGGGGGTATGAAGGAAGATGGGTGAGGGCCACTCTGACGGATTCCCTTGAGCCCTCCCTTTTCCACACACTCAAGAGTGGATTTTCCTCACCTTGCAGCTCCCCACTTTCCTCCTGACAGACCACACTACTTAGTCCAACCCTCCCAGCAGCCTCCTTGACCCTCCCCCTCCTGAACCGCCCAGTACTGGCTCCCTGGGGAAACCCCACCTGCTTCCCTGTCTCCATCCCCAGACGGAAGTCAGTGTCTCCCAGGTACCAGTTCTCCTCAGCAAAAGGTCAAACACAGGTCCCCTGCCCTCGTGCCCAGCCTGGAAGGTTCGAGGGGTGCCCCACCTGGAAGAAGGTCATGGTGGAGCCGGCGTGGATAGTGCCGTACTCGCGTCAGCCGATTCCACCGGCACCTCCATGCGCTGCACCGTGAGGAAGGCAGCCAAGTTGGCCGTGTAGGAGGAGATGATGATCAAAGTGAAGGCCCACCTGAGGGGTGGGAAGCATGAGCCACAAGCTGCAGCCATCTCTTGCACCTTGACCTGTAACCACGGTCCCCTCCTGAGTGGCTCCTCCTGTCCCTTGACCCCAGTGGCTTTGACTTTCAGCTAGCTCAGTGCCTGCTAGTTAGGGCAGAGGCCAGGAATGGGGTTCTGGAGCTTGACTCCCTGGGTTAAGTACAGCTTCCAGAAACTTCCGACTCTAGGTATGAGAGAGGAAGATGGTCTGGAAATACACTCTCAATGTAAGCAACTAAAAAAGCTGGGCAGAATAGAGAAAATATTTAGCAGTACAGAGAATAGAACTAGTCACAAGCATGCTAGGCAGGGGCTCCACCACTGAGCCACGCCCCAGCCCCTCACTGGGGGATTCTAGGCAGGGGTTCCACCACTGAGCCACACCCCAGCCCCTCACAGGGGAATTTTAGGCAGGGGCTCCACCACTGAGCCACACCCCCAGTCCCTCACTGGGGGATTCTAGACAGGGGCTCTACCACTGAGCCACGCCCCCAACCCCTCACTGGGGGATTCTAGGCAGGGGATCTACCACTGAACAACACTCCAGCCTCTTACTGGGGAATGCTAGGCAAGTTCTCTCCCACTGGGCTACATTCCTAGCTATTTTTAGAAAAATATATTATATCTACCTATTTTTCAGTGCATGAGTTTTTGCTTGTTTGTTTTGTTTTTTCCAGACAGGGTTTCTCTGTGGCTTTGGAGGTTGTCCTAGAACTAGCTCTTGTAGACCAGGCTGGTTTCGAACTCACAGAGATCCTCTGCCTCTGCCTCCCAAGTGCTGGGATTAAAGGTATTCGCCACTAATGCCCAGCTGAATGAGTGTTTTATATCATGTATGTAAGTGTAAGTGTGCCCATGGAGGTCAGAAGAGGGAAATGTATCCCCTGGAGCTGGAGTTACAGGTATGTATGAGCCACTCAAGGTGGGTGCTAGGAACTAAACTTCAGACCTCTGTAAGAGTAGCCAGTGCTCGCCAGGCAGCACAGGCAGTGGTGGCGCACGCCTTCCATCTCAGCACTTGGAAGGCAGAGGCAGGAAGATCTCTGTGAGTTCGAGACCAGCCTGGTCTACAAGGGCTAGGTCCAGGACAGGCTCCAAAGTCATAGAGAAGCTCTGTCTCGAAAAACCAAAAAAAAAAAAAAAAAAAAAAAAAAAAAAAGTAGCCAGTGCTCTTAACCACTGAGCCATCTCTCTACCCCCATATTTTGTTTGTTTGTTTGTTTTTCTTGAGACAGGGTTTCTCTGTATTGTTTGTTTGTTTTTCAAGACAGGGTTTCTCTGTGGCTTTGGAGCCTATCCTGGAACTCGCTCTGCTGACCAGGCTGACCTTGAACTCACAGACCTGCCTCTGCCTCCCGAGTGCTGGAATTAAAGGCACGTGCCACCACTGCCCAGCACCTCCCATCTTTTAAATTTGAGATAGCATCTCAGGATGTTGCCCAAACTGGCTTTGAATGTGTTGGCCTGAATCCAACATCTGTCTCAGTCTCCTAAACAGCTGGGATCACAGGCCTGTGCTCCCAGGGCCAGCCTCCAGAGGACAATATCTTAAGACGGAGGCCTTAAGTGGGCATCGTGGGGCTGTAACACGCGGTGAGTCTGGGGAGGGAAAAGCAACAATCCTGGATGTTGAGGAGATGAGACAAGGGCTTCAACAGGAGCGCAGATGACTGGGAATTTGGCAATTGAATGCTCAGAAGAAGAGGGTTGTTCCCGGAACACAGGGTTCACTTGAGCCTTTTGCTGAATATCAGTATGTGTGCGGATGAGGTGAGACCCCAGGAAGACAGACAGGCAATTCTCTCAAGCAAAGAACAACCCCACAGGGCTCACACAGGGTGGAGGATCTTGTGAGCTTCTTCCAAGCAGAGGTATTCAGCAGATTCATAAGCACATGGGAGGGCAGAAGACATGGCTGAGGGGCCTGATTCCTGGCACTGACATGGCCGCTCACAACCATCTAGGGCTCGGGTTCCAGAGGATCTGATGCCCTCTTCTGCCCTTTCTGGGTACTGCACACATGTGGTACACACACCACAGGCAGGGAAAACAGCCATCTACATAATATAATCAAATAAGATTTCACACACACACACACAATGATACATGCAGACTGGAAGAAAATGATGGGCATGTTTACACCATGTAAACACTAGCAATCCAAAAGCTGTAGTGTAATGATAAACTCGGAACAAACCCTGGGGCCCAGACCGTGATACAAGGTCATCCGAGGGGACGGTACAAGAGGATGGAGCAATCCCAGGTATCAGTGCCCGAAATTACAGAACTTTCAAAATTCAAAGCAGGGCTCGCAAGAGACAGCTCAGGGGGTCAAGGTATTTGTCACCAAGCTGGCCTTGAACTCACAGTGATATGCCTGCCTCTGCTTCCCAAGTGCTAGGACTGAAGGCGTGGGCCACCACTGCCTGGCAATAAAGATAATTTTTTAAAAGTTATAAAGTCTCAAAACAAAACAAAAGTTATAAAGCAACAACTGATTTCACAGTGGAATGCTTGCCTACAATCCCTCAGTAAGGGGCAGAGGGCGTGGCTCAGTGGTAGAGCCCCTGCCTAGAATCCCCCAGTGAGGGGCTGGGTGTTTGGCTCAGCTGTACAATACATGCCAGGAATTCACCAATGAAAGGCTGTGAGTTTAGCTCAGTAATAAAGTATTTTTCTAAGGCTCTGGGTTCTAACCCCAGCAAGAGAGAGAGAGAGAGAGAGAGAGAGAGAGAGAGAGAGAGACAGCAAACCCAAAGCAGTGAAATAGCAAACTGACAACTGAAGAACAGAGTCCCAGAGTTCTCAAGGATCACAGGGAGACACCCTGCCTTGATTTCCTTCTCTGTGGTTGATAGGACAGCTGGACAGAGAACCAGTGAGGAGGCCGAAGCCGTGGACAACAACCTCAAACCACTGATACTCAATGGCGTTTCTAGAACAGTTCACCCATCAGCGTTGGGATCCATTTCCAGGGCAAGTGCAGGGAAGATTTCCCGAGAGAGCGAGCCGTGAAATAAGCCTCAATCAATTTAAAAGGAGTGAAGCCCTACAGAGAATGTTCTCTGACCACAATGGAAGCAAACTGGAAATCAGTAATGGCAAGAACTGGAAAATCCCCAAGTCCTGGCTCTGCTGGCAGCTAGCTGGGTGACCTTGAGGCTGTGCTTTGGCGTCCTCACCTGGGTGGGTCACTTCATTGCTGGCTCTTCCACACAGGGGTTGGTGAAGAGTGGGCTAACCTATACGTCAGAATGTGCTAGGAAAGTGCTTACTGTCACTGTCTTAGTTACATTGCCTGACTCGGGAATGAGAGGAGGTACCCAGTGGGGTTGGCTGCAGGACCCCGGGGCAGCCATTAGTTCTACCCTGGCCTCCCTCCTGCCAAGTAAGAGTGGCCAGGCCCTCTTACAGGCCACAGACCTGAGAAGGTCTCCCAGACCCCACTGGCTCCTTAGCTGGCATTAACGAGAACATGCCACTGGCCTCTGCATAGAGCATGCGCAAAGGTTCTGGGTTGGGGGTGAGCGGACAGAAGGGTAAATAATATAGTTTTCTACAAAAACAAATCTCTAACCCTGACGTGATGCCTGGGAATCTCTCCGGGAATTGAGTTTCTCCACACCTGCCTCATAGGCTGATGTTACTTATCACCAAGAAACGACGCAGTAGCTGCCAGGCTGGCCCTTGAGACTGCAACATTGGTGATGGGCACAGGGCGATAGGACTGAGCTATTTTGGACAGGGTAAATTTGGGGTGAGCTGTTAGTACCCAAGAGAATCAGCCCAAGCTGGCTGGATACAGGAAGAGGCTCAGGCAAGGAGTTTGGAAATGAGCAGCAGCCCTGGGCCAGTGCATTGAGGAGTGGCCTGCAGTGGGGACATGTATCTTGAGGTCAGGTCAAGTGTGGGGGCACTTTGTTAGCTCTCCTGGTTTCTGCCCGTGGACAGGCTGACAATGCAAGGCCTGACCTGAACAACACAGAAAACTGACAGCACAACTCTCAAAGCCTGACTCTTCCATGGAGGGAACACACACAGTTCTTGCACGGTCATAGAATACATAAACGGAATCTCCAGAGTGTGGCTCTCTCTCAGCTTGAGGGCCGGATGCCATTGTATGGAGAACTGCCGAAAAATGTTCACCATTTCTGAAAGTCACATTTAGGACAGCAATTCCAGAGGTATTTGAGTCACCAAGTCAAGATGCTCGGGCTAGCCGCACCAGTTCCCAGTGATTCACACCAGCACCGGCAGGTACCTTTGCCAAATATTTCTAAGTGTCAAATGTTGAGCGTCAACAATGTTCCAGTCAATGACCTTACTTCTTGGCATCCCAAATTGACTCATTACAAACAGACGTCACCTGGTTTGTTTCTGTCCTCTGACATATTCAAACACAAGCATTTGCTTATTGCTCTGATGTTATCCAACTGCAAATCATATTGCCAAGCCAGGCTGCCTTTAATCTCAGCACTGTGAGTCTGTGGCCAGCCTGGTCTACAGAGTGAGTTCCAGGACATCCAAGGCTACAGAGAAACCCTGTCTCCAACGAAACAAAACAAAACAATTGGATGTCAACTCAGGATGGAAGAGCATAGCATTCGTTATCAATATAAAGCTGAGGACAGAGTGCCAGAGGACTCTGGGAGAGGGCAGCTAGCAGGTGGCACACATGCTGCCTTAGGTAAGGGGTGGTGGCTATACGGATCCAGGGGTCACTTATGATGTGATGGCTGGGGGAAGAAGGGGAGGAGCCTTGCTGCTAGCTGGATCAGGGTGAGGGGTTTCTCTTCATGAGGGTGGGAGCACAGTAGCTGAGGAACTGATCTGGACTCTGAGAGGTGAAAGCAGGCGGGGCTTAGAGAGCAAGGAGAGTGAGGTCAGGGGACTCACTTTCTAAATAGTGAGCAAGGGCGACGAGCCCTGGCGGGGAGAGCCTTTGGCATGCTGACTTCTGAGCATTCTGTCTTCAGTGCCGAGGCTGGTGGGCATGGCTGCAGGAGACTGGGCTGAGTGGCCACTGCCTGGGAGGCATGTTTTGGCCAGGTGCCCATGAGATCCCCTAGGATAAATGACAGCAGTCATGCCCTACAGTCCCACTGCACGATGGTGGGGACTCGGCTTGCAGTCACTGTCATTGAGTCACATGTGGAGATGACCCAGTGCCTGCTGAATGAGTAAAACCAGTGAAGAGGACTAGGGGTGCGGAAGAGCACGAGGCTAGGCAAACAGCTCCAGAGAACAATGCATGACTATGACGGGAGAGGGCAGAAGACGGCTGCCTAGATGACACGGCCCTCAAGAAGCAGGTCCCAGGCTGAGGAGGAAGGAGGGCTCGCAGAGTGGAGACCACTGGTTCCCTGCCTTTAGGACAGCCCAGAGTCATCAACTCAGGACGGCTGTCCACAGCTCCTTGGGGGCACCCGTCCATCACTCAGAAGCAGCCAAGGGAAAGCACTGCTGCTCTGACCACGCTAACACCTTTCACCTGGCATGTGAGGGAGCAGAATAAGCCCCTCCCACTGACAGCACCAGACATCGGCCCCTGAATCCTTGGAACACAGCAACCTGCCGGTAAAAGGGACTTTGAAGATGAGATGAAGGGCTAAGATGAGAAAGCGATCTTGGATTGTCCAGGCAGGCCTGGTGAGTCACAAGGGCATGGGTGTGAAAGGAAATCAGAGACGAGCCTAGTGGAAAAACATTGTAATTTCAGGTTCTTCAAAGGTTGGGGCCAGGAGGACAGAAAGCTCAAAATAAGAGCGAATTCAACACAAGCATAAGCAACTTGATGAGAACTTGTCCCAAAATACAAGAGCAAAAACTTGCCTGGTGACATAGCTTTGTGGTAGAGCCCCTGCCTAGAATCCCCCAGTGAGGGGCTGGGGGCGGGGCTCCG